GATTGATTACAGGTCAGATTAAGCATGGTGATTGATCAAAGGTCAAATAAAGCACGGTGATTGATCACAGGTCAGATAAAGCATGGTGATTGATCACAGGTCAGATAAAGAATGGAGATTGATCACAGATCAGCAGGATGAGAGTTGGCAGAGTTGGGGCAGTCCGTGTACTCCACTGGAAATCAGATCGTGTTTCTTGAGTGGATGCAATTTTCAGTGTTTGAATTGCAATAGACAGGAAAAGAGGAATTTCTAATCCCTGTGAAAACTTGGAACACGCATCGAGGAGCCTACTTATAAATAAATAAATGATTGCACGTTTTCAGTCTTATATCTGTATAAAGCATAACAAACTATTCAGAAAAATGGTGTTAAACTAATCCCTCCATGACTGACGCTCTAATATGAGATTTATTTAATTGTCACTTTAAGAGATGAGTTCGAATATACGCGAACAGTTACACAGGCTACCACTGTGTATGGTGTAACATATCAGCTGGGTGTTATTGTGAATAAGAATTATTTTAATGGGGGCTGTTTAAATCTCCAAGTGAATGCTCTGTGTTAAGTGGTCTCTTACATCATGAGATATTAATGTGGATTTCATTTAACAAAATGGTAAAACATGTGTTCGTACATTAACGCATGCAGTATTTATCGATTTTAGATTCATTAAATCATGTTAATGGAGGTAGTAATGGTATCTGCGTGTACGTGTTAATGGGCAACTTTTATCAAAGATGAATCAGTTCCGTGTGTTCGCCTATCAATGGATACACATTTTCAACTATGCTTTAGGGGTCTCTGCAAGCTCACCTCTCGATGATCTCCCCCACTAAAGCCTGTTGGGAAATTAGAATTTTCTTTAAAAATCTGTATTTTTCATAATATCCATTATACAGGAGTGTGCGTGAACCTGTGCCTGCAGTGATATGTTAAGACAGCTTTATGTACCGAAGGAGAAGCTTGCTTGCTCACATCGCACACAATGTTCCGATTCTTTATGTAGTTAAATGGGGCTTAGAAGACACACTGACATATTTTTCCCCTCCAGAGGAAGTATATGGTGCAGTGATCAGGCATATCTCTGTTGAGGAGGGGGGTACTGACTATGGAGGCTCTTTTGGGGGCTGGATTCACATAAAAAGAGTAGCAGAGTTGGTGATACTTATCAAATGGAGATTACTCAATACAAAGTATCTGAAGGCGTCAGTCAACACTCATTTGCAAGGTCCATTTGTCTCCCTTTGTTTGATGTTAGCTAGTCTTGAAAATTCGTAGCAGAATATTTACCGAGATAGGCTCCTGGAAAAGAAAAAAAGCAAGTCAGTATTATTTAAACTGAGTCTTTGTTTAAATTATCCATTGTCAGAGGAAGTTAGAAAACTGTCCAAGTCTAACGTCCTAACTCGGTGTAAATACTAATCCAGGTTCCTTATCAAACTGATAACATTTTTGGACGTTTGGCCACTATTGCACGAATGTTTTCAACATAATCACATTCAAAAATGTCACAACCTGCTTCTGCTACAAACACCACCTGAGTTAGAAACCGTTATTGACTTAAAATGGCTTAATGTCAGCCGTCAATCCTGAGATCTATACTCTCTGTATATATACAGATATAAACACACCCTCCCTCTCTCTCTTTATATGCACTGCAAACAAATCGCTATTAATATTGGGCAAGTCAGCACCTAATTCATTGATTACTTCACTCCATGTCTATCTGTGCATTCTGCGACCACTCTTTAACGCTTTAATAGGTTTGTCACAATGTGACACTCCACCTTCCTGTTTATGGAAACAAGTCAATATATTTGATGTGCACTAAGGATTAAAGGTTTAAATATATCAACCAGAAAACAAATGTGCAAAGTCTGCATCTCTTTCACTCCTCGTCTGTCATTTTAAGGCGCAGTGCTGTTTTCTAACCAGTATTGGGCCTGACTGAGCTCAGTCCAATCAAACCTTCCCTGTCATCTGCACCATCTGCTTCTCCTAAAAAATAAATCTGTTCTCTCCTAAAAATGCACGAATCTGTTTTCTTACCTGCCAACTGTCCCAGAATTAAGGGGAGCGTCTCTCGGGTGATATAGCGACAAGCCTGCACTTTCAATATATTTAAAACTTGTACCTGTCTGCAAAGAGTTACAAGGCAGCACTGTTCCCAATATGTGTTCGGCGCGAATAACTTGTCACTTCATACTGGATGTGATTTTAAGTGATGTGGGTTTTAAATACACTGGTAGTTGTGGTCTGCTGAAATGTTAAGAATAAGATTGTCGATGGATACTTTGTGTCAGCACGAATACCATTTTAAATGCCGTAGAGCATAGTTACATAGTTACATAGTTACATAGCTGAAAAGAGACTTGCGTCCATCAAGTTCAGCCTTCCTCACATTTGTTTTTTGCTGTTGATCCAAAAGAAGGCAAAAAACCCAGTTTGAAGCACAATTTTGCAACAAGCTAGGGAAAAAATTCCTTCTTGACCCCAGAATGGCAGTCAGATGTATCCTTGGATCAAGCAGTTATTACCCTACATTGAAAGATTATATCCTTGAATATTCTGTTTTTGCAAGTATGCATCTAGTAGCCGTTTGAACATCTGTATGGACTCTGATAAAACCACTTCTTCAGGCAGAGAATTCCACATCCTGATTGTTCTTACAGTAAAATAACATTTTCTTTGCCTTAGACAATGTCTCCAAATCACCGCTGCCAAGGGCAACCCCCTTATCAGAGTGCATTGCTGAGTCCACACTAGTGTGATCATTTTTTTTTAAAAGCATACCCATTATACAAGAAGAACAAAAATCTCATAGTGCAACATACCTTAAAGCAGAACAGTCACTTCCCATTATCCACACCTCATTGTCCTGCAGCTGGTAGCCTCCGTCTTAGCTCCCTGTCAATAAATGCGTTAAGTTTTGTCCTTTGCACCTGGCTGTAAGCATAGGCAAAACATAGATTCTCCTCCTCATCTGCAATGTGTGCCCTGACTGTGCCTTGTCTGTGCCTTGTCTGGGGGTTCCAAATGCCCAATTTGGTATAACTAGTAAAAATGTATAACTTAAAATGTGTTTCTACACAGTTTATTATTGTTTTACTGCAAACTATGTTGGAGGGGAAAAAAATTAAATATGAATGAAAAAAATAAAAGACAGCAGGACTTAATATGCATCAATGTTTTCACGTAAAGGCTGTCCGTCATCTCTCCCAAAGCTGTAATTATAAAAATCACTTTTCTAACAGGATATTATGTATCAGCTGCAGCTTGTAAAGTAACATGCAATCTGCAGCTGAATGTCCTACCTCCCTGGAAAGGCAAAAATTTGGAGTAAATGAAACATACTTAAAAAAATGTTTTTAAAAAACTCCAATTGAAAAGAAATGAAAATATTGTTCCACCTGCAAATTCAATTTTGTTCATTTTTGTTACAAATGTTGCAAAATGTTTTCAACCCACAACTTACTATTTCCTGAACAGACCCAATAAAAAGCTTAGATTTCTCTGATGTCATCCTAAAACTGACGTTTGGAATGAGGGCGCTATTGATCTGCTTAGATTATAGTTCAATGTATGGAAGGATATTGAGGTGATGGGCTCCCATGTCTATCGAAGATGTAAAAATGTAAAATGTAAAAGAAAGAGAGAGAAACGATTTGTGGCAGCTGAAGGTTAACGCACTGAGCATAATATTTGTGTCATTGGTCACTTGGCGACTATGCGAGCATTCAACAAACGGATTTTATTACAATGTAATGGTTTAAGATAGAGTTTTCTCCTCATTAAAGTAATTGTCTTGTAGCAAGCAGTGCGTTTATCTTCTGCAAGAAATACAATTATTTGCCATTAATCCTCATTTGAAAGGGGGAAAAAAATAAGGACAAAAAAAAAAACACGTATTTAACCCATTCACTGCTACATCTAGTAGGAATGTTCTCGTCTCACAAACAATCATTTATCGTTTTAAATCAAAGCCCATTTTGTCTGGCCTGGTTGGGTTCAAAAGATTGCTTGGAGAGATCTGCCATTGATAATGATGTGTGTTAATGTAAACATAATATTTTTTTTTATTTTTTTTGAGTATTCGATCGTAAAATACAGGACTAAGTGAATAAACAAACAGACACAGGATGAATCATTTTCAAAAATAATAACAAAACAAACACTTCCTGTAAACTACTCCAGCAACATCCTGCCTTTAAAAGGTTTTTAATATATCATTATAAATAAGCGTGGAATGGGATAATAATGTGTGATTCTGCAACAGAGGAGCTTATTCACTGGAAACGTGAGTTATAGTGAGATAATGGATAATGAGAAATATGAAATTGGAAAAAGTGCAGAGGCAGATTACAAAATGAATAAGGGGAAATAAAGATTTTAGTTATGAAGAAAAGCTACAGAAGTTTAAAAAAATAACATTATATGAATATATAAAGGAATGGTACAACATTTTATAATAACATGCTCAGCAATAAGACTGTACAAAGGATAAGAAGTCTTCCATTTAGAGTGGAAGAAAGGAGATTTCACATGTTGTACAGGAAACGTTGTCTGCCCCTAAATAAGTTATTTTATCAGGTTAAGTAGTGATTGTTAAATGGCTTGAGAGTTTAAGAATTAAAGGTGCCTTGATTGTTGCTGATTTAGATTAAAATAATCATTCTTATAGAGAATTTCCATTTTTCAGTAGTTTATAAAAGCAAACAAATTGCTTGCTTTCAAAACGAGAAACTATTATAGATATACATTAAATATCATTATTACAGATATTTCAGTTATCAAGAAAGACTATAAAAGTTACATTTGTTTACTCTAGAAAAAAAGGCACCTCTGATGGGATGTGATAACATATATAAAGAACTGGTACAAGAACTCTCTGGTAAACTGCTCATCAACAGGAAGAAGGTCAAGAATTCATCCATTTAGATCTAAAGAAAGGAGATTTCACCTGTTGCACAGGAAAGATTTTTACTGCATAAATAAGTGGTTTAATCAGATTAAGTAGTGATTATTAAATGGTCTAGCTCCATTTTTGGAAAAACTGAATATTCAGGGTTGTAGCAGTTAACGTGCATGGTAACATTGTGTAAATACAAGGAGTAATAAGATTGCTATTTTGGAGTTAAGAAAAACGTTCCTATTTTGTGGCCTAATAAGAAATTCCAAATAGGGGATTTCATCGTCTTTTGGATCAACAGCAGGAACAGATATGTGGAATGTTAAACATAATGGTCTTGAGTTTTTTTAATAAATTTTTATGTAAAAAGTTGGTCAAAAATAGCCCAGATGGAAAAGATCTTGCTCCACCCTATTAGGTGACCGATCAGGTGTATCCACATGATTATTTCATAAACAGAAATAATAATATCAATAATAATAATAATAATAACTATTATTATTATATAAATATATAAAGGAATGGTACATAAACTTTCTGGTAACATGTTCAGCAACAGGGCTGTATAAAGGACAAGACGTCTTCCATTTAGAAAGGAGATTTCGCCTGTGGCACAGGAAATTTTAGCTGTCCCTAAATAAGTGGTTTTATCAGATTAACCGGTGATTCTTAAATGGTTTGAGGGTTTTTTCCCCTTTGTTTGCTCTTTGTTTTTTTTTAGATTAAAGGTGCCTTAATTGCAGTAGATTTAGGTTAAAATTAAAAGTGTAATTGAAAAATTAAATATTCTGTTGATAAAACATTACTTATGAGACTAGAGTTTTCTAAAATGTTACAATGTGATAACAGTTAAATGTATAGTTAAATAACTCTATTTTATATAATAGTTTAAAATATACATATTTTTTTTTTATCAGGGTTGTTCAATAAAGTGAGAATTCAAAGTCAATTATATGTGAATTTCAAATTCCAGAATAGTGAAATAGAAGCACAGCTGACTTCACAAATTTGTCCAGTTGGGCTATTTTAACTTTAAGTTTAAAATTAATTTAGAATTTACTTTCAGTTCTCCCTTTGTTCAATAACACTGTAAGAGACAAGATTCTGAACGTTGCCTGGCACAGATCACATTTTATTGTTAACTGCTTAACATCCAGAACTTTGTAGCTGGTGGCTTAACGTTTATTCACATGTTGAGTCTGTCTGTTTGATTCTTGGCATTCCATTGTCTTCTACGGAGTCATGCAGATAAAACGTAGAACCTTTCTTGCTTTAATTCCCTTTTATTTTCATCCACAACTGACAGATTACACAGATTTATGGAAACGAGCGAGGAAATTGCCTTTTCTGCAGAGTCGAGTATTTGAAGTGAAAATTAAAAGGTTTCTAAGAAATCCTTTAACCGCTCTTTAAAAGAGGGATTTGTTTGAGAAAGGTATGGCCACCGCGTAGAAGTGATTCTCCTCTGCTCCAGCTGTGAAAGTGTTAACCCAGTGTGTTTCTTCACTCACAGACTAGTAATTGCTGGCGTGCCCCTGCATTATGAAGCCTGGCAGGCAGCAGGTGTGTATAACAAGAGTCGTTTGCAAAGCTGAGGCCTCTTTATCATCTCCAACTCCTTGAGAAGGCGCCGACGGGTCTCTGAAACATGACTGCAGAGCCGGCGAAGTGATTTGTCCTCATTGGAGGCCTGAGCGAGAGGCACAGAGCTGCTCGCAAGAAGGGCCTCCATTCTTCACCGAAACACATTAGAGATGAGGCCGTGCACAGCTACTCATTTGTTCTATTAAGGCTGCTCGTCTCTGCGAGGAGAAGACACACAGGGTGACCTCGGAGATTAGAGGTGCCTTCATTGCTGCAGATTTAGGTTAAAATAATCATTCTTATAGAGAATTTCCATTTTCCAGTGGTTTATAAAACCAAACAAATCGCTTGTTTTCAAAACAACATAATAGTATAGATATACATTAACTATCATTATTACAGAAAATCTCACATTCTGACATCTCGTATCTCTTCATACCTATTCATCGCCCAAGACTGTGAAACAAGATATGTTTATTGCGAGACAGTGATAGACAACTCTGAACTACTTTCCCCGGGGAGCTCAACCACAGATCCAATGTTGCATCCCAGAAGTGAAAATAAACTGTAATTTTGCATTTTAACAAATCAGATACTGTAGCTTTAAGGGAGTGAAGGTTGCACTCATTCTTCTGTCTCAGAGACTGAGTTGTATAACAAACAGTGAATGTCAGAGACTGGGCCCCACTAAACAAAACCACCATTTTCAGCCTCCAGACTGTCCATTAAGATGCTGGAACATGCTGGAACATGCTTCAATTCCTATGGTAAGCTCTGGCTCTGATATTGGGCATGTATTTCTCGGCTGACCTTGGCAAATTGCTATTGCATGGACCTTCCCTGGAGGAGTCCTGAACCATGAACCGTCAGCTGTCCTGAACCGTGAACTCTCAGAAGCTTAGTCACTATTGGCCCAGTCTTGTGGTTATCTTGAGAAAGTCTGCTGAGTACGGGCGAAACATGTGGATGAAAGAGAAGCCTTCTCACTTACCGGTTCAGACAGACTTTCTTAGCGGTGTTGTGTTCCAGCATCCCTCCGTCCTGACTTTCAATATTGTCAGCTAAATACATGGAACGCCTTTGGACTGTTGCTGCACCAACGGAGTGGTAATACCTGCTTTGCACACTGCTGATCTGTCGTTTACTGGACTTTGGTTGCTATTCGGATACCATAACCACTTTTCTTTACGTGTAAGAGTTTTTAGTAAGGGTTGGGGTTTCATTTTATGTTAATAAAGCTGTGTTACACTATATCTGTTTCTTTGTATCCTTTTAAGGTACATGAACATTACTACTGGTATTGGATACAAAGTATAATTTTTGTTTAACACAGAAAATTATCCTGAATCTCCCCTACCCACCACTGTGGAGGTGGAAACTGAACTCTGAAACTACATTATCAAGTATTCCCCCTTTGAACAATCTCTTGGGGATCATCATACAGCCCTATAGTCACCTGAACAACTTCAGCTTAATGAGGTTGTTCAGGTGAGAACTATAGCTCCTTGAAGCCTCTCGTGTAAATACTGTATTTTCTGAGAAAAGCTAGGAACACCTCCAGTTGCAGTCACTCAGAGTTAACCAGAGGGACTTCGGAGTTGATGGAGGCATAATATGCCTCCATCCACTCAGATCTGCTGTCAGCAGAGCACAGGGCAGCACTGTGCACAGCATCCTGTTATTCAGTATCTCCTCCCTCTGCATGCAGACACTGAACTTTCCTCATAGAGATTCATTGATTCAATGTATCTCTATAAGGAGATGCTGATTGGCCAGGGGGCTGTGTTTGAATCATGCTGGCTCTGACCCTGATCTGCCTCTTTGTCAGTCTCCACTTCTGATGATGTCAGCAGACTGCTTGTTTGTCTGAGTCTAACAGCATGCAGATTTACAGCTTCAGGATTGAATACAGTAAGATTTTTACTATATTTATGGAGGCATGAGGGGCCCAGGGGTGCTAGATGGTGGTTTTAACACTATAGGGTCAGGAATACATGTTTGTGTTCCTGACCCTATAGTGATCCTTTAATGCACCCCACTGGTACAATCAATGTGTGCAATATTCACTTATTGTTTCATTAACCCCTTAAGGATACATGACATGTGTGACATGTCATGATTCCCTTTTATTCCAGAAGTTTGACCCTATAGTGATCATTTAAGGCCTCAGTTTAATATTTATGGATACATTTTTCAAATTATCATCGTCTGTTAGAAAAACTTTGTAACGATTTATCTACAAAAATCCTGTAGATTTTATTGGTAACTTCTGTAGATAAATGAATTGAAATGTGATCATTTGAAAAGCTTATCCACAAATTATAGATTTTCAAATCTGGCTACTTTGGTCATCACAACACACTATTTCAGTGGTGGGCACTCCAGATCTTGTGTCACTACATCTCCCATAATGCCATAATGCTCAACCATGATGATGACAATGCACCAGGGGAGATGTAGTCCAGTTTGCTGAAGGTTGCCTACCCCTGCATTATTTAGTGTGTAGAAGAGCTGCGTTGGTGTTAGTTCTCAAACATGTTTATTCACCAACGTGAGAATTCAAATGGAATTTCAAATTATAGGTCAAAATAGCTGAACTGGAAAATATTCTCTGAGTCCGCTACTTAGACCAAATAAAAAAAAATAACCACTGTTTAGTAGATATACCCCCAATAAAACCATGCATGCATTTACTTATGCATTCTGTTTCACTGAGGGTATAAAAACATTTCTTGTCTGCCGCCTTTGCAAGCCCTCCCCTTCTAACCCCACCCAGACTCTCTGTGACTGTCCAATCACAAACTTCCCAATGCAGCTCAGTGAGAAGTCTTTGCAAGGCAGGTGATCTAGGCAATTGCTGCCTTTTGAGTTTAGTTCCACTGAGCTAACCAAACCAGGAAGTAACAGGACCAGTTGTCTGATTGACGGCAGGAGGGATAAAAAGGTTATTTAATTTTTTTTTATTTTATTTTTTTAAAAGACACACTTTTCACAGCAAGTTAAAGTTCTCAGGGATCTGTAGTGTCCCTTTAATAATGGTAATACACTACCATCACACCGATATGTATGGTCAGTGTGTAAATGGTAATTTTCCAGGTATTCGTAAACACATTGCTCATCTTCAACGGGCTATTACAGAGGTAGGTTACCAAACAAAGAGGATTTACATATTAGGGCGATCTCTCTTGTTTTTGCATCATGTTATCCTTTTATATTCTTATCTTAAAGTATCTCACATACAGAATCTTGTACTATTTATACGAGAGAATACGACCATCCCCAGTGTAATGGCAATACATTTATTTTCTAAATTAATTTAATTCAGCATCTGTTTCGAGTATGTGCTTGTCTGTCCGCGTGACGTTCAATTTGTTTTATATCTTCACAGATGCTACATCATTGAACAAAAGATGATAATGCACCTCCGGGGAGTCTCATTGGCCTTTCAAAGCCAGACTATATTTAAATTATTGTCATTATTATAATAGTAAAAGTTATTTAGATGCCATTGTTCCAAAATTTATTTCAACAAATTTCTCCCATAACATAGCTGCCCATTGAGCGATGACTCGTGTTCACTGTCTGGAAGTCATGTAGGGGAATGCTGGGTTTGCAGATGATTGTATATATATATATATATATCATTATATAAGAACTTGGACAATCGCCTCCATCTTTAAAGAGGTAATAAAGTCATTATACTTAAAGGACCACTCTAGGCACCCAGACAACTTCAGCTTAATGAGGTGGTCTGGGTGCCAGGTCCAGCTAGGGTTAACCCTTTTTTTTTTTATAAACATAGCAGTTTCAGAGAAGCTGCTATGTTTATGAAATGGGTTAATCCAGCCTCTAAAGCCTCTAGTGGTTGTCTCATTGACAGCTGCTAGAGGCGTTTGCGTGCTTCTCACTGTGAAAATCACAGTGAGAAGACACAAGCGTCCATAGGAAAGCGTTATGAATGCTTTCCTATGAGACTGGCTGAATGCGCGCGCAGCTTCTGCCACGCATGAGCATTCAGCCGAAGAGGAGAAGAGAGGCACCCTCAGGGCACTATAGTGCCAGGAAAACGAGTATGTTTTCCTGGCACTATAGTGGTCCTTTAATTTGGGGGGAGGGGTGGTGGGCTTAGAATAGTGTGCCTACATGATCCTGACATGTAAATCCAGCTCTGACTGCATAGTGCCAAATTTTATTTTTGGAGGTAAGATAACTGTTACGGTACCTCCAGTAATGAAATGTACAAACCGCCGTTTAGCGAGTATTCCCCGTTCGCAATAATGTGGTCGGGTAGCGGGTATAGTAAAACCATGCGAACCGCCAGCCAGGGAACACTCCAAACTCCCGAACGGTACCTGTACGGCTAATTCCCTTCACGAGCTGCAAATCCACGAACGGCAAATAGTAACCGAACGTCAATATCTCCCAAGCGGCAAATAATCCAAATAAGCAGTCTCTAGTCGCTGGTAACCAAATCCCCCCAATAACGAGACCAAGCTCCGCTTTGAGGGTAAAACACGAACTGATTTACTGTGGGCTACCTTCCCGGTATTTATGCAGGTCTCCCACTTGGTGGACACTCCCCTAGGGGACCAAATGGGAGACTGAAATCACAGAAGGACATGGGGACATTTTGGACAAACATCCCCACAATACTCCCAGCATGCAGTACAGTTCCCTCCCCTCTGCTCGGGGGATAATTGGGAAGTAACTCAATTATCTCCCTGAGCAGAGGCAATCGCCATTTTAAACACAAGTCACAAAACACATGAAAATCCATAACTTCATAACTGCCGAACATATTACATTCGTATTGCATATCCCCAGATAGCCTGGATCTGAGGGCACATTATTGGAGAATAGCGCTCAGATCCCATTCGCACAGTTCAATCGCCATGGAGTCAAAGTCTCTTTCAGTTCTTCGGTATGCGATTGACTCCATGGGACGGCTATCTGGGTTAAGTCCATTCGTGTGGTTGAATCTCCCGAACGGCTGGCATTCGTATACTTTTGTCGATTGAGAAGGGGAGGTCGACGGCTTCAGCGGTGTTCGGCTGAAAAAGTGTCCGTTTTCAGATCCATGAAATAATCGTCGAACACCGCTGGTCGTTCGCATGGACAAAATGGCCGCCGCCTCGTGGTCGACATACGAACGACGACCACCCGGCATTCGGTTTTAATTGAGAAGTGTCTGTGGTTAACCGCAACGTTCTAATTGGGATCAATAGGTTAACCAGCAGCACACTTCTCTTCTGGGTGGCCGTCCGTTCGGTAGTTCCGTTCGACAAAACCGACATTCCCTTGAATAAAGCATACGAATGGGGAAATTCATGTAACCGGCAAAACAGGCGAACAAAGCAGTTGTAATCCAGACAGATGGGTCTGTCACAATAACGATGAGGCCTGCTTTTATGCTTTCTGCTGGGACCCAGAACTATAGTGGAATAATATAAAAGGCAATGATATACCCAGTGATTCTGAGCTTCAGCATCACAACTCCTCCAGGCAAGGTCCACACAATAGCAATTTGCCAAGGTCAGCCGAGAAATACATGCCCAATATCAGAGCCAGAGCTCACCAATACTCCTGTGGGGGAATGGAAGCGGATCCCTACAGCATGTTCAAGCATCTTAATGGACAGTCTGGAGGCTGAGAGCAAGTTTCCTATTAATGACCATAATTTTAGAATCAGATGTTTAAGAAACAGTTGCTCACATTACTTTGGAGGCATATTGTCCCTTTAAAACGTTCAGTGTCATAACAAAGCTTTGCAACTGGTTGCCCTCATGTCCCGAAATAAAGATGTAAATGCCCACGATATTGTTTTTTAAATCTCTGGCAGTGAAAGGGTTGACATTTCCCTTTAAAAGGCCAGTTTTAATGGCTCCTTAAGTAAGGTTCTGGTGATCTCTCCTGTCTAAAAGTGTCCCCCTTCTGTTACCGGGACTGGTATTGTTACAGCCCTGTGCGTAATTAATATAATTAATATAAAAAACAGTTACTTTAAAGCCTGATTTGCATAGGCCCCAGGACGCAATGCAGCAGTTCTTGACGGGATGTGTTTTATAGGTGATAAAGATGTCGTTTTGGGTTTGATTCACTTTTTGCCTTGTCCTGATGATAAATTAGGACTAAGGAAAAATCTGAGAATAAAAACACAACTGAAAGAGAACTTCCTCTATAAAACTAGCAATCCCCAAAACGTATAAACACAGCTCGGTCTTTTAACCCTGTAAATGCCATCTAAAAGTGCTATCATGGCTTTAAAACAAACACACAGACGT